TTATTATTAAAAAACACGAAAAAAATCACAATGTTTAAAAAAAATAAAAAATAAGGCAATGATATATGAAAATCCCAAAAAGGAACAGACTCACAGTTGCAATTAGGTGTACCACATCACGTCGGTCTCACCAATGAGGATGATACAGGTATTCAGTGTTTGACAACGCTTCTACCAGTAACACCTTCTAATATACTTTGTTCCCACCGAGAGAAATCAAAACACAGAGTCGAGGAGATCGGAAGAGTGTATTTGGCGATAACCAATATATCGGGAATCTCTGATCTAATCTGGCTAATGTTTGCGTTTGATGTTGAGCACAGCGTTACAGCACGTGATCTGGTGCGGATGCATGACCGAGCGCCTTCAGCTAGGTGAGTCCACTAAAACATATGGTCAGCATCCAATGTCGAAAACCTACAAAGCTATTTAGTTTGGGGATTTATTTACCGCTACAACTGCAAAGTCATCCGCCTTAGATAAAAGTCAGACAGATCGACTTGCCCCATTTTGTTTATGTTTGGCTGTTGTAACGATGCTAAGCAGTTTATTAATTGGAGCAAAAATATTAGCTCAATAATTGCATACGAAAATATAAATGTCACTCCAGACCTTACGCCCTGTCAACGTCGTGTAAGAAGATGCGAAGCGATAGAATTGAATGTGAGTGTTACAGTTAATAATCAGCCTGAGACAGTTTGCAACACAGCAAATAGTTTAAAACACACGAACAATAAGCATGACACCACTCCACATACGGCTGATCACTCTGTTGATCTAGATGAGTCAACAGATCAGAAACCTTTGGATAAGATACGGACCCCAACTGACACCAAAAACCATAAAGACATGACTAATCCCAGCTGTTCGTTCAGTAATGTACTAAAATGTGAGTCGTGTAACAACACACGTGCAACTAAACCTATACACTTGAAAATTTGTCCTCCTAAAGATATTCCACAAGTAGACTTGAATGAACGTAAGTTCATCTCACAAAGACAACGAAAGGCTACAGCTCTGAAAATAAAGGGTGGGAAGACAAAACTCACGATACCGAAGAGGGAAACATGTAAGATTGAACCCAACTGCTCTATAGGTATCCCAAGAACAGTGAACAGGTTCTCCCCGCTGCTATCGTATAACTTGCCTTCAACACCTCTAAGTTGCAAAATGGGTGGTGGGCTTCAGCGAAGCAAGCCTTCTTACACGCAGACTAACGAAAACTACCAGAGAAATGCCCACCCAAGTCACCCCTTGAAACCTAAAACCATAAATAAGAATGGTAATAATAGGTTTCTCACACCACACCCGACCTACATTCCGCAGGATCGCAACTGTAATTACTCTCAAACAGGAAACTTGTCACACAAACTTATTCACAACAGAGGGTAAACTTACTCTCTACAAAATATGTGTACGACCCTCCCTTGAATAATGTTCTTTTGTCTTCTCTAATAAGAATATCACAGACAAGATTAGAGTAGATGTTCAAAGACGTTTCAAACGTCACCTACTAGAATGCAACTCGAATCTTGATTACACAGACAGATGTAAGCATCTATATTTAGAACCTTTATGGCACCGTAGGCTAAAAAACAATTTAATATTTCTCTACAAAGCGATATATGGGCTCTCCTTTCTAACCTCCTACCCGACTATTACCCACGACCCAGCCTATAGACTTAGAAACAACGCATATACACTACTTACCGTAAAACACCAGAAACAAATGCGTTGTAAGTTCTTTACAGTACGGTACAGTTTATTGTGGAACAGGCTGCCAATGCCTATCCGTAATTGTGGTACGTTTATCAGATTCCAAAGGCTAATAACCTTATTTCTAGACTCCAAAGAGCTTCAACATTTCCTTGAACTCCCGCCCACCAATGAGGCACTTTATTACGGACCGCCTAGTATCTAGAAAGAACAAAATTATAACAAGTTCGACTGTTACTAATATGAATATAACCAAATCACAGAACATATGGCTTATCCTTTCCTATTATTCATTGTTTATTAATCATTACTTCATGCTCCTAACCCTAGCTTTCAGTTCCCAAATCTCTACAGGTTAAATGTACATTATTCTTCCTAAAAGTCATGCCTTTTTTTTTATTCCACTGCAAGTAGACAGATAGCTCAATCTTATGAATGCTGACCTACTAAGGCCGATCATTCAAAGCTCAAAATTTGGCTACAACGTCTTGTGAGTGTCTCAATGTTTTATTTGTCTTACCCTGAAATTTTTTTTCTACGATTTTATACCCTCTCATATCTTTTGATTTGCTATTAGTCCTTACTTCTTTAAACCATTAGTTATTTTCATAGCAGTGTGATATACTATGTGGACATCTAACCCATAAAACAAATTTTTTTAACTATCTGATTTGCTTGTAACATGGACCTAGTAGAGACAGTGTATTCCAACTATGGGCTTTGATTAAAGCAGTATTCATACTTACCACAAACGTACTAGAGCCTAACATCACAAGAGGAGGGAGGGTGGCGTTACTGACCAGCAAACATGAAGGTGGGGAAATAACTTCAATCCACCCATGTCTGTAGGGCAGAACATTTTGTTTAATTACGGCTCCTTATGGTTTAGTGGGATGCCACGAACTTATGGTATTGAAGCTGATTTATTCACGCGAAATACCTCTTTAAGTCGTGTTACGAACGTTGAATTGGTTTCACTTCCTACCCTGAAATTTTATTACAAGCAAACTAGACAATTCGCTTATATACGAAGCCTACTCAAGACCTTATAATAACTGGGGGAGGGGAATATTTTAAAAAAAAGGGCTCTTATAGCTTCGATAATAAAGGGAAGACAGTCAAATGTATATCACAATACTGTTTCTAGCACTATATTTTATTTTATAATCACACATAATCTTATACTCTCAGCTCTTTTCCGAATCGCCCCCATTTGTCAGTTGTATGTCCACTCACACCTTGTCAACACTTATTTTCTTTAATCTATTAAAATGCTCTTTCTTAACATATACCTTAATAAAGGAAAATTAGACTGAGTAATCATACCTTAAGCATTCCTTCATGAATATTGTTTACTCTGCCTCTCGTATTTTCTTTTACTTGCTCCCTCTTTCAGCCCCTTGAGATATGGAACTGGTGACTTCATCCTGCACCATCCTTAAAGCCTTGGATATCCCAAAGGGACATAAGGTTGCGATTTCTAAAAGCTCATACCTTCAATGGACCTATCACTGACCATCAGTCGCACATTCGCAACGCAACTTTCATGAAGCGCGCCAACTGTGGTACTGATTCAAACCATCTACATTCATATCTTATAAATTATCAACTCAGCTATGTAATTTATTACAGTGTATATTGTATTATTTGTATCAATTTGATCTTGCCTGTAAACTGGCATGCCTCATGTAACAAACTGTTATTTGAGAATAAATTATTATTATTATTGTTAAATAGAAATAAAGGAGACGTGAAATAAGCGAAAAAAAATTTATTATTATTATTACACGAAATAAAGTACCTGTGATAAGCAAAGAAGTAAAAAAATACTAAAACTATAATGTCTTGATATTAACAAGATGTCTTTAGTTAACTCCTAGCCACAACTTAAGTTGTTGCATCAGATTCCTTCTGCAACCGACTCCCGCAATAATATCAGTTCAACCAGCTTCATAATCAAAACAACGTTAGTTTGATTCCAGAAGGAGGGACGGAGCATAAATTCCGGTAGCAAGTCCCCACGGAATTCATATTGTGTTTCGTGGAATAATATTCTAGTTGGGCGAACCACAACTCGACGTCACTACGATCGAATTCTAAGAGCATGACGTTCGTAGTCATAACAGTGTCTATTTCTTTCGGTGCAAAATTATGTTTCGATTAGGTCTGGAATGTAGTAGATGATCATTATATTAGTATACTATGAACGGGATAGATGCTTGACGTCGACTTTTAGCCAATTGATGTAAGTTGTCACAAAAAAAGGAAAACCAAGGAACACATTGAACCTGGAACTGGGAGTAAACACCAGAAGAATAATAGGCGCTTCAAACAATTGGAAAGAATTAACCAGGACAGGATTCCATGGAGAATCCTGGTAATCTGACTTAAAGGTATGCTACACAAATGCTCGCGGCCTATCAAATAAAATGGACGAGTTCAGGTCAGTATGGATCAAGAAAAACCAGATGTGGTTGTTGTTTCGGAAACTTGGTTAACGTCAAGCGTATTAGATAATGAAATTCAGTTGACTGGTGTTCTGTTCAGTAGGGCTGATAGATTAATCCCTAGGTGAGGCGGGGTTATCCTGTACACGAAAGTACCCAAGAACGAACAAAATACCCGTGGAATACGGGTTCTCACACCGAGTCATCAATATTTGAAACCCGAAGCAGTGATGTCCGCACCTTCAATTAACCCTTTCAGAAAAAAAACTGGACACTCACAGAAGCATACTAAAAAAGAAATAACATAGGCCATAGGCCTTCTGTTCTTACTACATAAATCTGAATCTCATAGCATACCTACATTATCATTATCACATAATAATAACTACCCTCTACTACGCTTACTACCCTCTCTGTTTCTCCTTTTATTGTCACACTTCGGTCCCCTCACACTTTGCATTACTAATTAGTCAGCTTATTCAGCTGTTTTCTTCGTGGTGAATCAAAATATATAAATTCCAAAAATAATGTCAAAATTATTACGAAAGAAATGTAGTCTGTTAATATGTTGAACATAAATTATGCACACGAGAAAACTATACCGGACGTCAGTTAGTTAGTAACTCCAACTATGATTGCTACAACCCGAGATGTATATCAAGATAAAACATGTAATGAGGATATCATTGTTATCTGTAAACATAGACATGATATACAAACTAACCAATAATTAGCAAACAAACTAGAACTAGTGTAGTCAGGTGTCTAGAATGCCGTCCGTTAAACGTTAAGTAAAACTTGGAACAAAGCATAAGAAGCTAGCCTAAAAATTGATTCAGTTTATACAAGCTAGTCACGAAGATATTGGATCGAAAGGCGGCTAGTTAAGGATTGAAGGTCAAGGTTGTTTTTGATCCCGAAACCAAGGAGTTAGTGAATTAGGCTTGTCACTGTTATTTTAATTACCGTTCTCCAAAAGTGTTTTCGATGTTTGTAAGCTCAAACGATCCATCCGTAGGCGGTGTTATTGAGCAAAATATTGTCTATTATATTTTATACTATTTTACTCTGACTGCAACATATGTTTCAGTCTTTGTTATACCTTGGTTCGGTACACTTAGATGGTTCTCTTTTTCCATACCCATGTGTATTATTATTGTAATATGGTCAATAGCTATAGACTGTAATATATGCGACAATCATTCCGATTCATGATAACAGTTGTTATATTATCCAACAGTTAACTGCTAGATTTATCCGAGAAATAAACCCCTCCACATGACTCAACAGCACTCAGTTCATGATAAAAGCACTCCAATTCCCACCCACATCTAACTTTTACACCTTATCTTAATTCTTCAGGCTGATCGATGACCCTATTTATTTTTTTCCTAGTTTTAAGTATTACAAGGCTGCTCTAGTGTCACCCAAAAGCCGTCCGTAAATTACATACCACTTAAACCTTAACTCTATTTTACGAAGTTTAGAACTCAGGGACTTTATGTGGCCTTTTTGTGATCACTGTGACAAACTTCAAATGCAGAATATTGTAGCATCTTTTCAACCAAAAATCTTTGCATAAGTCAGGGGCATCTTGTATTGATGCATGCAAGGTCCTTAATAATGTGTTAAGCATCAGGACTTTGTACTTAGACACTCAGTTTGTACAGATTCGTCCTAATTGAAATGTCACTTAAGAGAAATTTATGTTGGCCCAACTCACTACACACTACATCAGCGAAATAACAAACAAGTTTCACAGTATGAGGCTAATTCAGGTATATTTTTGATTTTCGCTTTAAGAACAAATGACTGAAAGTCTGCATTATTTCTTTTATATAGTGCTACTGTATGTGACTGCTCGTAAGTTAAATAAGTTTGTAATAAACAAAGTTCTTGGATTTGACGAACTTAAAGCAGTCTACGCAACATTAATACAAACATGGTTTTTGTGTGTAGTCATCTAACAACAGTAGCTACTACCTTAGCAAAGCAGAAAGACTTGAACGTAATATGAAAACAAGATGGAACAGAATTTCTCGGAAGGTGTAGAAAGTAGGAATAAAACGAATAGTCAAAGATGTTACTGAATTTGGTGAAGTCTTACACAGGCTGTTGATAATGTATGCAGCAGCGTGAGCGCATTGAATTTTACTAGACTGATTCGGTTAGTGCATCCAATATTACTTACCTACTTATTCCTGTTACCCCTGGTGAACAAACATAGGCTGCCCACCAGGATTCCGCATCGAGAGTAATCCGTTCCAATTGTTCCCATTTAACCATTCTTCTGATGTTTGCTTCCAGTTTCGGGTTCAATGTGTTCTATTCCCTTCCTGTTTTCCTTTTCCCTTTAGGATTCCAAGTTTGTTCGGTCAATAGACATTGTGTCTTGCGTAGACAATAGTTTGTTAACACTTACACTTTTGGTTATGGTTTTGGTAGTTCTCTGGTTTTCAGCTCCATCCAGTAAAACTATTTTGACGTTCGTATTAAAGATTCTCACTTTGATATTGGCTGACAGTCGTTTTGAGTTCCATATGTTCTTCAACCGTAGGAATGTTGTCCTTGCTTTGCCTAACCTTGCCTCAATGTATGCATCAGATCCTCTCTGTTTATCGATGATGCTGCACAGGCACGTGGAATATTCCACATCTTCCTGGAATCTCCTTATTCGTTATCAGGCGCGTTATCCATCGCGCCACAGGCCTCTGGACCCAGCGGCTCCCTTGCTCACATTTTATTTCTTTCGCATCTTCATCAACTATCCTTCTTTCCAGCACGTGTTCTTCATCCCGAATCCTTCTCAACAGAACGTGTAAGATCTTTACAGTTACTGTTGTATCTGACTTCAGTGTTTCAACTGGTATGTTTTCAGGTCCTACTGATTTCCCACTCTTGATCTGTCTGATGGCCATGCTGATTTCTTCGATCGTTGGTAGAGTGACGGCTATATTATTATTATTCACAAACATCTTATGGGTACATAAGTGTGGTGAAGAAACCCAAAATGGTTTCTTCACAAATGCAATAATACACAAGTTTCAATAATGTTAGCATTATATTTGCCATATTTGAAAAAGAGAGTAATAATAATAGAATAATAATAAATCAGGTTATGTGTAATTGAGAAGAACATTGAATTAAGTTCAAAGAAGGAAAGTAAATAAGGAAATAGAAATAAAGGAGACGTGAAATAAGCGAACAGTTTAATAGGCGTGTTTATGAACACAGAACAAGAATAAACGACTATGTATGTATCGTGAAATTAGTTTTTAGAAGAATAAAATAGAAAATAATTAAGAAAAAATAACTTATTATTTCAGTAAGATATGACGCTAGAATAAATGTTTGTGCAGTCATAGTTTGGAGTGATGCTACGAAAGTCTCAATTAAGTGATACGGATAATGAAATATCAATATGTATGAGTTATATATGCATAGTGAAGATAAAACGAGTCTGAGAAGTTAATTTAAGTGTAACACAAGTTGCTGTCTGTTAAAAACTTTGTAAAGTTAGGAGTAATATATATTTAGATGAAAAAAAGAAAGAGAAAAAAATGAACACCTAATGAAAGGGTTCAACCATGATAATAATAATGATTGTGTAATGAATATCGACCTCTGAAGTAAACCAACAATTTAGAAAAATAAAATAAACCCTTTACTGCACATGTAGATTTATGTAATAATATACAGAGTGAAACCGGATATTATTATAAACATTTGTGCATTAATAATTAAGAATGATGCTATGAAAGTCACAATTAATTTCAAAGGACAATCAAGGGTTAAATATGTTTAGAAGGATAAGAAGAGATAAAAAGAATATCTAATATGTTGGGGGACCAATAATGACAATAACAACAGTAACAATTATAGATACGAACATAAGCAGACTTCATATATTATATTATACATATTATACACATATATACAGGAAGGTCTGTAGGTGCTGGTCCGATATCTGGTGGATTCAGTGGAATTGGTCTATTCTAGAGTTCATCGAAGTGTCTCACCCATATGTCCCTCTGTTTCCGAATTTCAGTGATTGGCTTTCTTGTCCTTGACTAGTCTCTCTGGTTTACTATATTTCCTTGTCAGTTTCTTCGTCGTGTCATATATTGTTTCATATTTCCTTCGCTTACAGCTTTTTTCATTGTCGTTGCTACGTCTTTCACATATTTCTGCTTGTTAGTTCTAATTTTCTTCACTTTCATGTTTGCTTATGTGTGTTTGGAGCGTGTCTCGACTTTCTCTGTTCTCGTTCGGCTATTGTTAATTGCTGCCTTCTTGTTCTTCGCTTTTTGAATCTTGTTTAGGGTTTCGATAGTGATCCATTCTTCATAACGATGTTTCTTTTTGCCCAGAACCTCCTAACAGGTTGAAGTGAGTGCTGCCTCGATACCTTTTCAGTTGTCCTACATAGTACTTTCTCCTTTGAGTAAATCTTATAAGGCTTGGAACTTGTTGTTTAGAGTTATCTTGAATTCTTTGAATTTTTCAGTATGTCGAAGGAAGGCTGTATTGAATCTTTGTATTATTTTTTTCCAGTTTTTCATTACTTCTTCAGCTTCCGTTTTATCTGAACCTAACATTAGTTGTCATTGTTAGATGTTTTACGACGTTTAGCTCCCCGCAATAATTTTACTCAGCACAGTAAAAAGTAACTTCATCAAACATTGGTTATAAGTATTAGTGGGTGATTATAGCGAAAAAGGAAAACCGGACGACAATTCATGATTTGTGTTTCAGATTTCATATTTTCACTTCGTGAAACGTTACATAACGGGCATGGGTTAGAGATAATTTCAAATCTATCTTATCTATCATTAGTCCCAGTTTATTAGAAATAATATTTTTGATAACAAATATGGATACTTTAAAATGCAAAATAATCTTTTAAATTAAATTACCTCGTTCACTAGGTATTTGTGTATGAGCCACATATGAAGTGTAAGGACTAGTAATACCATCCATTTGCTAAAGTCAAACTAGGCGGAGCGGGATTCGAACCTGTGTTCAGAAGTCGAACTCGTTAGCCACTAAATCACCGCTTCACAACACCTTAGAAAAAGTCATCGTTTTAGGTTTAACTAGATACGGTTCCTACTCTAATACTGATCAAGAACTGATTTAAGAATGATAGCAGCCTTTACAACACATGAGAGTTTTCTTTTTACGATCGTTTCTCATTCATGTATATGGTCTTCAAGCATCATTATTTATTTGAACACAAACATCGGTACAAAGGGACATAAAATATATATGCGCCACACCACTTGATTTGTTTGTGAGGTCTGTGATACTTCCCAGGTGCCCAAACCGAAACAGGCAGTTCTCTTAGAGGACTACTCCCCTAGCCTTTGACAAGTCCATGAAGTCACTGACAAGTGGGCTGAGTCATGTTGGTATGTGTAGACTACCTGGTTGGGGACCGCGAGATGATAGCAACCGATGGTTAGAGACCCTGAATGACATGGCTCAAAATCGTTTGCAATGGCGCAGGTGCATCCACTCTTTGTGCTCTCCCAAATTTTAATCTTCTGAATTCTTCATGTCCTTTTTTTCCTCTTTCCGAATTTGTTTCACTGAATTATACTCTTTAAATAACATCTCCGACCCCTAATCTTCCCGATCACTGCTTACACTCTTGCTACCTCTACCACTACGGGATTTGGATCGACAACTGCATCTCTGTGCTAATGCGGTGTGGCAACTCGAACTGGTGTACGCACGTACGAAGTTCTACGTTGTTACTGACTGACTGACCTAGATGTATAGTCTACTAGACAGTTGAGAGACGTTAGAAAGTTCTCGGTGATCAACAATAGGTTTATACGCCATTTGTTCCCTCAAGATCCTCGAGACCATGTGCACCATTGGTTTGAAATGAAGGTTTTCCAACTCCTCTAGGCGGATCCTCTGTATCAGATACGTTTGAGAATAGAAGCCAGTGGCGATCGTACAGAAAATTTCTTTTACTTTGTTCATAAATGCAAATGTAACTCCTTTAACTGAAAGAATTCTTTGTGGTTGTATTTTTCCTAAATGAACTGTTTCTTCCATTATTATTATTTCGCTGTCATTCACTAATTCTTGTTCATTGTTTATTTTATTAATCATACACACTTTACATTCTCCATCTCCCCACAACCTCGTTGTTATTGTGTAGCGCATATGTAATTGGCGCATAATTTTACCAATATTTGTGTTCAAATAATAACAATAATCAGTCCTCACAAGTACTACGTGATGCTAATTTCTCAGTAACTTCCAAGTAAACAGCATCAAAGTATTATACAGACACAAATTTTCAGCTATCAACTTTCTGTTAATTGACCTCTAGTTATTCAATATAGCTATTTAACTTGTCTAGAGTGTCATTGTGTTTTTCCTTTATCCTTTTAGTATTAAACTATGGCACGTGGTCAACAAAAAATACAAAGTCAACAGAGAAATGCTAAAAAGCAAGCTGATTTAAAAAAACCTGCTATTGATTCAAAAAAAGCTGCTGCTAAAGCACTTCATCATACTTGTCCTGTATGTAAAACACAAGTACCTGATGTTAAAACATATAAACAACATTTTGAAAATAAACATCCCAAAAATCCATTACCACAAGAATTACTTGAAGTTGTTTAAACTATTCAATAATTAAAATAAGAAGATTTATTCATAGTAAACTATTTTTAATTTTCCCTATATAAGTTGTAATAATTAATCTTTTTCTAAAATAATGTATTAAATACATATTTTAACTGTTTTCTGATTGACTAATTAAAGAGATGCTCTTGTTTTCATTCTCAAATGTAGAGTATTATTTTCGTTGATATTGACAAAAGTTACACCTGAGTAACGTTCATCCGGGGCTTACCGATACCTTCGTTTTGATCGTTCTTTTTTTTCTTTATCGACTGACCCATCGAATGACCCATCCGAGCTATATTGGCTGGAACATATGTTCCTGTAGGTTCTACCATGCCAGGCAGGTCGATTGGTGAACGGTAAGACTAAAAGCAGCAACTCAAAGTCTGAGGGCGAAGTCGTACTGCTGACTGTACAGAGGTGTGACAGCAGTAAGGTGTTTCCTTCGGACAATCAGCATGACAGCGATGCTGCCTTCCCACAAGGAGGGGTGGGGTTAGAAAAGGTCGACCCTAAAAATGTCACACCTCACCTTACCTCACGGATTTCCGTCTCCGGCGGTAAGGCCATCTGAAGAACGGAGCTAACACGTCAAAAACCTTCTACAAAAAGGCCGTGCGCGACCGGCCTCAAGCAGTTGTCCCTTGGGCTCTGCGGTCACGCTCCCAGGTCATTAAGACCAACACTAATCCAATTTCCTTTTCAGATTCCTCAAGAAATACCCTTCCACGGTGTGGGCAGCCGGGAAGTGACACCAGCCCTCATACCCGTAACAGCACGCGAGACCAAGTTGGTCACATTCAAATCCTTCCTACACCTAATACCTCTCTTATCTCCATGACTAATCCTCCTCACGTCTCTTTATCACCTCGCACCGCTAGGGCAAACGATTCGAGTACGCGGAACGCTATTCCTGGTCTCCTGAAACCACGCTCTAAACTACACGTAGGAGCTTTTAACGTACGAACACTGTGCCAAATAGGACAGCAGGCTTCCTTAGCTAGGACTTTAGACTCTTACGCCATCGATGTGTGTTGCGTCTCCGAAACGCGCATACAGGATCCAAGTAGCATCATTCATTTGACCTCACCATGCCAAAATAAAGAACCGACTCGATTTACGCTTCGTGTATCTGGAAGCCCTGATTCTGCTTCCCGTGGCCTCGCCGGCGTAGGTATAGCATTGAGTCCTAGGGCAGAACTAGCTCTCTTAGAGTGGATCCCAGTAGACAGTCGTTTGTGCGCTGTCCGACTGAACGGAACAGTAAGAATCCGGAAAGATAGGGACACTCGTCGTTGCCTCTTCGTCGTCTCTGCCTATTCTCCCACTGACTGCAGCTCAGATGATGTAAAAGATGAGTTTTACAGAAAGCTTTCGGACCTTCTCCGAAAAGCTAAGCGCTCGGACGTAGTAATAGTGGCCGGTGACTTTAATGCTCAAGTAGGTAAACTAAGCGATAGGGAAAGACACCTAGGTGGATCTTATGGTGTCGTGGCTCAAAGAACAGATAATGGCGACCGTCTGTTGCAGCTATGCTCAGATAACCGCCTGTTCCTTGCAAATACTAACTTTAAGCATAAGGAAAAACATCTTTTAACATGGCGACCCCCTAATTCGTCCCAACGTTGGACCCAAATAGATCACATCGCTATCAGCCACCGATGGAGGGGCTCGATAGAAGACTGTCGCTCATTCTGGAGCACATGCCTAGATTCAGATCATGCTCTAGTACGAGCGCGTATTTGCTTGCGTCTTACTGGACGTAGGAAAAACGCTGCAAGGAAACCTCTTAGGGGCCTACTTAATGATAGTCAAGCTAAGAGTATATTTCAGGAACAACTAGAAAAACAGTTAGGCAGCCATGTATGTGATGCCCACCCCGAGGCAGCATGGAATGATATCCGAAAAGCTGTGGAAACAGCAGTGATATCTGTTAGTAAGGTAAACCACAAGGTTAGGGAGCAACACTGGATCTCAGCAGCATCTATCGCACTGATAGATGCTCGGAAACTCATTCCACCTGGCTCTGAACATAGTGAAGAGCGGAGTCAACTTAAGCGCAAACTGACAAGAAGTCTACGTAATGATCGCGAACAGTGGTGGGTAGCAAAAGCAAGAGAGATGGAAAAGGCAACGGCAATAGGTAATAGCAGACAATTGTTTAGACTCGTTAAGGAAACCGGAATTAGGAACCCGACTGTTAGCGAAACAATCGCAGAGAAAGATGGACATATTATTCATTCTCAATCCAGGAGATTGGATCGATGGGCAGAACACTTTAGGGATCAGTTCAACTGGCCTTCAGCCACACTTCGGTTTCCCACGATCTCCAGTCAACCTGAATGGCAAGTTAATGTAAGTCCTCCGTCTCTTTATGAAGTTGAAAAAGCCATAGGAAATCTGAAACGAGGGAGAGCAGCAGGCCCTGACAGGTTTACTCCTGAAATTTTTAAGGATGGTGGTCCAGTATTAGCAATGAGATTAACCGAGGTCTTAGGTAGAATTTGGGAACTGGACGTAATCCCATCTGACTGGTCTCAATCACTGATTGTACCAGTTTATAAGAAAGGACAAAAATCCTCTTGTGACAATCACAGAGGAATCAGTTTGACTAATATAGTGTCTAAAATATTAGCTTCAATAATACTTCGACGCCTAATCAAAGCTCGTGAAGAGCAAACTAGAGAAAACCAGGCCGGTTTTCGACCTGGACGTGGTTGTATAGATCAGATATTCACACTACGTCAGGTTCTAGAACACAGACACACATTCAGACGCCCCACAATCGTAGTATTTCTCGATCTTAAGGCGGCATTCGACTCTGTTGACCGTGAGGTTCTATGGCAGTGTTTGTCACTGAAAGGAGTACCAAAGAAGTACATAAACCTTATAAAGGCTCTCTACTCGAACACAACTGGTAGAGTGAGAGCTTATGGCGAACTGTCATCAGAATTGATTACCTCAAGTGGTGTTCGTCAGGGCTGTCCACTCTCCCCATTCTTGTTCAACTTTGTGGTCGACGTACTTTTAGAGATAACACTCTCCTCATCTAAATTTCCGGGGGTTGAACTTCTACCGGGAGGTTCACTTGTTGACTTAGAATATGCAGATGACATAGTTTTATTTGGTGAAGACGCTGACAAAATGCAGAGTCTTCTGACCACTCTAAGCAACAATGCAAGCATGTTCGGGATGCGATTCTCTCCCTCGAAATGCAAAATGTTGCTTCAGGATTGGGTTACATCGACACCCGAACTAGTGATAGGGAGTGAAGCAGTTGAGTGTGTCGACCGCTTCACTTATCTTGGAAGTCTCATCAGCCCTTGTGGTCTGATGTGTGACGAAATCTCAGCACGGATACAGAAGGCTCGGCTAGCTTTTGCCAACTTGCGTCATTTATGGCGTAGGCGAGATATCCGTCTACCAACCAAAGGACGTGTTTACTGCGCAGCAGTTCGTTCCGTCCTACTTTATGGTAGTGAAACATGGCCGGTAAGAGTAGAGGATATTCGTAGGTTACTAGTATTTGATCATAGGTGTCTTCGAAGTATTGCTCGTATATCCTGGGACCACCGAGTAAGTAACGCAGCTGTTAGGAAACGGGTACTAGGTAAGGATGGCAAATCAATTGATGAAGTAGTGAAACTTCATCAGTTGAGATGGCTGGGACACGTGTTACGTATGCCCAACCACCGACTACCTCGACGTGCTATATTCAGTGGTATAGGAGTAGGTTGGAAGAAAGCTAGGGGCGGCCAGACCAAAACATGGCACAAATCCATGAAGTCACTGACAAGTGGTCTGAGTCATGTTGGTAGGTGTAGACTACCTGGTTGGGGACCGCGAGATGATAGCAACCGATGGTTAGAGACCCTGAATGACATGGCTCAAAATCGATTGCAATGGCGCAGGTGCATCCACTCTCTATGTTCTCCCAAATTCTAATTATCTGAATTCTTCATGCCCCTTTTTTTTCCTCTTTCCAAATTTATTTCACTGGATTATACTCGTTAAATAACATCTCCAAACCCTAATCTTCCCGATCACTGCTTACACTCTTGCTACCTCTACCACTACGGGATTTGAATCGACCATTGCATCTCTGTGCTAATGTGGTATGGCAACTCGAACTGATGTACGTACGTACTAAGTTCTACGTTGTTACTGACTGACTGACTGACGACTGACTTGTTAAAGGTTGGTTTTCCTATGCATAGTGGGTTAACTTATCGATTTAGAATGCGGAAGTGATAGTCCTATTTTATTAATTTACTAAAAATATAGAATCTTTTTATTGCTTAACTACTGCCTACCTAAACGAATGATGCTTGCTAATGCTGAATTAAGTTAGAAGAAAGCGAAAGGTGGCATCAGTTCATGAAGTTGTAGCGTGGTGTCGAGTTGCGATTGACTATGAACACCGCTACAGAGAAACACGTGCCAGGTTATCCATAAAATCCCCCGAAAGCCAAATATCAGAAGGTAGTTAATGGACCACGTCGAGACATATTTGCTGGCGATCTCGTGGTATCGAAAGAATACCAAGATCGTGTCAGGGTACAAGCTTGATTACAAAGCGTAACCGAATTCGCGCGAATTCACAGTCAAAGTGTAATAATAATAATAATGGAAGCATAATAAAAAAGAGCACATTAAACAAGCACAGTTACAATTGGTTATAATAATAATAATTGTTTTCATTAAACGAATCGTGTTCTCGTGATAAAAGTGAGTCGCTACAAAGTTATGAACTGTTAGTTTTAGCCATTTTGTTGGATGTAGACTGACCTAGTTGAGGTCTGCGTAATATCTAAGACTAGTGGTTGCAGACTGTTGTGACTTTAAGCCCGGCTAGTTATCACGTGATTTATTCGCCAATCGAGATACGACTTATTCAATCTTAGAACTGTGCTAAGCCAATGACGTTCGATCGGTATTAATAGCCTAGTGTCCTTCTTGGTTTTTTGTCCTCCTAGCACCGTCAGTTGAGTCCAGAACACCAGTAACAGCTTTCACTATGTGATTCATTTATTTCAAACATATTTGATTTATATACTAGTCAAACAGACTATATCACACCATAAAATAGGAAATAACATTTATACATAGTCATGCCAAAAAGTGGCTGTGAACGTGGGAGACTGTAATCAATAAACTGAAT